TCAAAGTGGGCGACATATAATAATTTATGCATTAACGTAGAAAAGACATGTTATATTCAATTTAGTAATTATGGAACATTGAATAATAATCTAAATATATATTGCAATGGACAATCTGTTAATGAAATGACTGAAACAAAGTTTCTGGGAATATTATTGGACAAACATGTGAACTGGAAAGCCCAAGTTGAAAAAAGTTTGTTCTAAAATAAATAGCTATATTTTTCTTCTTAGCAGACTGAGAAAAATTACATCTCATGAAACATTACTAACGGCGTACTATGCATACATTTATTCTGCACTTGATTATGGTCTTTTGCTTTGGAGTAACAGTACAGATGCTATTAAAGCCTTTACAGCCCAAAAGAAATGTATTCGAGCTATGAATGGTTTGGCACCAGATTCATCGTGTAAACCGTATTTCAAAAAATTACACATTTTGACGCTGCCATGTATGTACATACTAAATTTGGTATGTTTTGTTAAAAATAATATACTTTTATTCACAAAGCTAAGAAATACTGCACGGAGAAACTTGAGGCATACTGAAAGATTGACACATAGTGTAATGCCAAGCACTAGCCTCTATAGGAAAAATTGTTCAGCTATGTGTATAAAAATTTTCAATGCACTGCCTATAGAGTTTCAATCACTCCCAAAGGTACGTTTTCGCAGGGTAGTCAAACAATGGCTTGAGGAGCAATGCTTCTACTCTGTTGAAGAATATTTAAATTTTTTGATAAGGATTAGGGATCGATATTAAAATGAATTATGTAACTACTATCATATTATTTTAATTAAATTAAATGTAATAAAATTATTATAATGATTTTGAAAACATGTTATTAATTTATTAGTTGTGAAAATGTAATTAATGTTTTAGATAAATATTTGTATGTCAATATTATGACAAAACATGCTGGACTTAAATGATTTACCAACCTGTAATGTACCATGTTTTATGCAAATAAATTATGATTATGATTATGATTATGATTATGATTATGATTAAAGGGACGTCCTAGGCGAAAGTTTGTCGACCAAATTGGCGATATATTACGACGAGCTTGTATGCGTAGGTATATGGACGTGGAAGAGGCGAGAGAGATATGTCAGGATCGTGCTAAATGGAACTCTGTAGTCTCTGCTTACCCCTCTGGGTGACAGGCGTGAGTGTTTATGTATTATTACAGCATTTTAAATCTAAGTAGCTATTAAAAGATATTAAACTTTTTTCAATTCAATGACTTATAAAAGGTGATGAAGACGGAGGGATGGGGATATATAGAAATAAAACGCAATGTGAACATTGTCTATTTTAATGTATGTATATATTAATACTTAGATTCTAAAATAATGTATACACTAGCTACACGTAGGCTATACAAGTACAGGGCGAGCGTCGAACAGTAGTTCAGTTCGGCTCTAGCCGTCACTCAGTCCATTACTCAGTATACAATTGTGGCTTAAAGGTTTAGGAAACCTGAATAGTTATAAATATTGAATATAAAGCCGTTTACCCACGACCATTTTTCGAATTATATCATTGATAGTTACTCGTAAATTGTCACTGATTTAGATGAAAGAACCAGTAAATTTAAATTAGGTATTGACTCATTTCGTCTAAACAGCAAAGCTAAGTTCAAAAAAATATTTAATTTACCAAAACTACAATTAAAGCAAAAACGAATATACATACATACAAATCAAAGTAAAGGCGAAATACAATCATACAAACTCAATAATCTCATTCAAATTACAATATAAGCCGCTATTAAAATAAAACATAGCTTTGGTCTTTCATTGTATGTTAATTCTTAGTGCACTATTTAATGAGATTATACGATTTGGGTTCCGAGGCTGATTTCGTTACAATTTCAGAGGAGTATGGAATTTATGTACAAATAAAAAATTGAATGGATAAATCATTGCGAAAAATAGTCTATAGGTACAAGAACACTACTTAATTTTGTAATGAAATTTCTTCCAATAGGCAAGCTGTAAAGATATGTGGAAAATAAAAGCTATTAGTGTGTGACTTTTTATTGTAAATAATATGCAACCAATACAAACATATAAATAGTAAAAATAGAAAATACATATTTTGTCACTTACTTTGAGTGCTTTCTCACAAACTGAATCAGGTGGTGTGAGACACAAACAATTTAAAAAGATTCACCGGAACCCAGAAACAAATAGGAACTATCAACCACTTTTAACTAATATTACAATAATTATAAAATCAGTGGCCGCGAGTTTCCCAAGAATAAAAAAAATCCGTACACTTACGCAATATATATAGTTATATAATTTTATCTACATTTATACGTACCAACATGATACTTTGGATTTTAACATGTTCGTAAACGAGATTCTGTACAGAAATCTATTCAAGAATAAGTTCAGACACTCATTTCTGTATTCAAATTTCTTTATATTTTACTATTAGTTAGTATATTTTTGAGTCTTAAACGGAGTAGAGCGAAAATCATTGTCCTCGTCACCATAATTATCTGACATTCAGAGAAAAGAACGGAAAGTAGTTGTCACAACTAAACTTTACATCAACACAATTATGGGCTATCCAAGGAAAAGAATCGTAAGTAGTATTTAAAACGAAACTACGTCAAAACAATTATATGACTTCCAATACAGAATAATTTTGATTAATAAATTCTGTGATTTTGATATCCCATTTATTATTATTATTTAACTAGTAAGTGGGCATTATAACTTGACTTTTGATAATTTTTATACGTACCTACCTACACGTAGGTAAAACTTTTCTTTTGAACTACAGACACAAGTGGTATTTTTTATGAAAATACAAAAATTTCCCTAAAAATACATTAAGATAATAAAGTAAAAAGAAAACATATTTTAGCAAATGATCCATAAATAAACAAATTAATAAACATCAACAAAATATATTACGTATTAACCCTTAAGGCCTTACTTATGGAATAAAACAGAATTTTCAAAATTATGGTCGATTTAATTTCTTTTGTTACTTTTCTACTGATTAATGAATAACAATAAGTACTATCCTTTTTTTTTTCAATAATAAAGATTTGTATTGGAAACTAAATGAAGACAGTTTTACGCAATTAATTTTAATATTTAGATACAATAATCATATTGATTTACTTTAAAAATTATTTACACTTCAGACAACAAACAAAAATATAAAACTTAGGTTTGAAATCATGAAAAATGATATTAGTATCAAAAATGGTTTGTTTTCAAGTAGATATGATTTGGCATGAATCAATTTAATTCTTTTTGTAATTTGGATACACACTTGTGCTTGTTTCACAATATTTATATAGATTATTAGTTTACTAACTATAAAACAGTTTCGCGCAACGGTATCATCAGGGTATGTAAGAACAACGTTTGAGACGTGACGTGTCAGGCAAAACTCGTCGGTTCTTATAGTAATTACTAATTTGTATCCAAATCAGAAAAACAAAGCGGAAGTTTCACCAAATGTCAACTGTCGCGAGTATAAAACATAAAACATGTATGTAATTACTCTAAGCATATAATTTTCTTCTTTTTAATATGTAATGCAACAAAAGTGTTATTCCAAGAATTTGACTCAGATATGCGAATTTAATACAATTTTTTTTTAATTTAGAACATTTATAATTAATACTTTCGGTTTTAGTTCCTCTTAAAAGATCATTTTATTCTAATAGACAAGTTTGGAATGTGTCATATTTTTACCTAAGGGATTATAACCTCAAACCACAAAATAGCGCCATTACATCAAAGTTTACATCTAATCTATAATATTAAATATTAGAGTCTTAAAAATAAATAGCTTACGATTACAAACTATCACTAAAATTATTATTGTACGAATGCGTATACACGTATTTCTTTGAATACAGCTCAATATTTATACTACCTATAATTTATTAAAATAAAGTCCGGGGGCTGCAGTTTTATCGTGATAACCTGTGTCAAGGTCACGGCGATAAATTATAAATTTTTCTGATTTTCAAAATTATACGACAATATGTATTTTGTTTCGTAGAGCCAAAATTGTAGCTAAAAGGCTCATCACAGATTGTTAAGGTTTGTAATGTTTTGAAGCTTCCAATTACATTAAGCCAGTAATCCTATATGATATCAGTAGTATTGTTGCAGTATTCTCTCATTTATTAGGGTTAACAACTGCTATGTTTGTCAACTCAAGTTATTCCATAGGGCTTTGAACTATCGCGTAATCATACCTGGTTATTATATTAAATCTATCTGTTGTGATTCATTGTGATAAATGCAATAAAACTTAATCTTTTGGTAACTTAAAGTGGATTTAATTTCCAAAATCAAGAAGTTTCAAAGTACGTAATATAAAATAGCATAGTGATGTATATATCGATAACTACGCTATCGATAGTTGACGTGGCAAATTGATAACAATATCGACAGGACTGTAGGTGATCGCCGAAACAAGGTGATGGATTGTGGAACGCCACACGGTGCTTGATGTAGTGCAATGAGGGTTCGTTTTGCCATTAGGGCGGTGCCACTGAGGAAAGAGTCGAAATCTACGAGTTTGACAATTTTCATAGCGGGCGAAGTTATGTCATACAAAGTGTAGGGTATAATGTTTCTTTCTAAAATATTAGTTATAAGGTATAGGTAAAGATGTTCTTGTACGTACTTATACTTGTATAAGGATTAAAAACAGGTTAAAACGTGTAACAAATTAAAACAGAATACAGTTCTGAGGCCTTGTGTTGTGTATATGTACATATAAACCAAAAACCTAAAGATTAAATCGCAACTTTGCAATAACACGGTGCGACCATTTGCGTAACAAAGTTTACCTAAGTGAACACTAGTCACTGCTGAGCGTAAGATTTACCTCTCATTGATTTACTTGTGACGGTTGAAGTTCCATGCAACATTTGGTGATTGTAAGACTGTTAACTGTCATTGGTTTCCTAGCGGTGGTTGTGTATGATGCGGCTGGCGACAGGAGGCGGTCAGTAGACGGGGCTGTGCGCGTGGTCGTAGTTCAGCTGCAGGTATGGCGGGATGGCGGCCGACAGCTCTGACGCGCGACGGCGCAGCGCTGCGATGCTGTGTCCGCGCCACGCCTCCTCTTCACACCCCTCTCCTCCCCCGCCCCCACCTCCACCCCCGCCCACACCTGAACCGCACGCAGCTCACATTACACGCGAGTGGACATGGCCAAGAGAACAAATAATCGCTATTTTTCGAATCAATATTTCTAAAAAGTATTGATAATTATTGAGTGAAAAATGTGGATATATCGTAATTTTTCTCAACCATTTAAGATTATTCATACATGTTACTAAAACAATCAAAATTCCTAAAAAAAAATAATACAAATGATGTTTTTTATTTATGCCTACAACTTCAAATAATTACTTAATAATACAACACTCTATTCGTGGTCGTTACGTAGCGTGAACTACGCAAATCAATAGTAGGTTTTAGTTTTACTAAATTAAACCCAGACTTACGCTGAAATACATCAAATTTAATGTGAATTCAATAATCTAAAATAAAAGCAAAACTTTTGAAAGCGGGTGGAAAATCGACACTTAAGTCCCGGAAAAGCTCTTAAATTCCGTCCTCCATGGTGGCACTACTCCGGAGGCGTAGAGGAGAAGTCGGTGATCTTGTTCTTCAAGAAAAGCAACAACGCTCTCTCGAAGAACTACAGACAGATTTCCCTTCTGAATCACGTCTTCGTGCTGTTTTCGAAAGTTATTACGAATCGTCTCGCAAGACTCGACGATTTCTAGCCTAGAAAAAACCGGTTTCCGAAAAGACTTTAGTACAATAGACCACATACATATCCTACGGCAAATTGTTCAGAAGTCCTATTTTTTTTTTATAGGAGAGGAGCAAACGAGCACACGGCTCACCTGATGGTAAGTGACTACCGCTACCCATGAACAACTGCAACACCAAGGGAATTGCAGACCGACCTTATAAAAAGGAATAGGCTCTTTTCTTGAAGGTCTCGGTCCGGAAAGACTCTGGTGGTAATAGATTCCGCAAGGAAATTGTGCGAGGAAAAAAACTTCTTTTAAATCGCACAGTGGTGGACCGCCAGTCATCCAGATGGTATGGATGGTATCGCGAGTTTTGTCGATTGTGAAATTATTGCGATGGTGAAATTGTGCGGCTGGAATTAGTTCGAACAATTCCTCAGAGCACTCCCCGTGGTAGATGCGACATCTACCACGGGAATAATACACCGCTAAAATACGTAAAGAGATGCAACATCTCGTCGCAGTGTCAGTGAGTCAAGCCGATCGGAGAGAGTTCGGTCGCCGACGATTTGAACTGCTCTGTGCTGGATGCGATCAAATGGAAGGAGCTGGTACTGGGGAGCCCAAGCTCAGAGATGGGCAGAGTACTCCATGTGCGGCCGAACCTGCGCCTTTTAAAGTTGCAGGCGGCGAGCCGGCATGAAATACTGTCCCGCTCAACAGAGCACGCCAAATTCTTTAGAAGCCAATTTGGCCTTCTCTTCCAAGTGGCCATGAAACTGCACGTCACTCGATATGTCGACGCCGAGCATTTGCGATGCTGGCTGATGCAACAAGAGGAGTGCCTTGAAACTGAGGAGATACGACGAAAGGGTTCTTTTTAGCGGTTAACGCGCAAAGTTGTGTCATCTAGGGATTAAACTGGACTAGATTTAGTCGCCCCCAGTCCGAGATTTTGTTCAACAAAGTCTCGACTTCAGATACAAGTTTGTCCTGGTTCTCGGCGACGTTTTCCCGAGAAATCTTGTCACGGCCGGTATATAAGGTGTCGTGTGCATAGCAATGAGTGTTACCGGTTTGCAACATATTGTTGATATGCAGAAGAAACAAAGTTAGTGATAGCACGCAGCCTTATGGAACACCAGCGTTAATATATAATCTGAGCATGCACCATCTTCTACGACCTTGATGCTCCGATCAGCAAGAAAACTGGTGATCCAATTGCACAATTTCTCGGGAAGCCCATAGGAAGGAAGTTTCGTAAGAAGTGCTTTGTGCCAAACCCGATCCTTCACTATGTCCAAACTAACAGCCAACGCCTCTCCCTTGGACTCTACTGCCTCCGCCCATTTGTGACTTAGGTAACCGAGAAGATTACCAGCCCAGCGACCGCAACGGAAACCGTACTGGCGGTCACTAATCAGCTGGTGATCCTCAAGGTACCGCATGAGCTGGCTGTTAATAATAGATTCCGTGGTTTTAAAAAACAAGGAGGTGATGACGATAGGCCTATAGCTAAACGGTTCAGAGCGGTAACTTTTTTTAGGAATCGGGTGCACGTAGGCTGTCTTTCATGATTTCGGAACTACACTTAGGGAGTAGGTGTACCGGAAAAGATGCGTTAAAACCGGTGCCAACTCCGGAGCACACGTCTTCAGCACAATAGGAGGGACGCCATCAGGCCCACTCGACTTGTTGACGTCAAGAGAGAGAAATTCTCTGCGCACCGAGTTTTGGATAAACAGCACTTCCTGCATGGAGCACTCACACTGCGGGATGGTCAGCGGTGTGTTCCCCCCGTCATCAAGAGTCGAGTTGGACGCAAAGAGTGAGCAGTGATATAGGCTTTGTCCTTTGCGGCATGGGCCAGTGAGTCGTCCTCCCTGTGCAAAGAAGAGAAGAAGAAGGCAGAAGTTCCCTTGGACAGTCTTGACGAGAGACCAGAATGCACGTGTTCCCCAAGAAAGACGAACTAGTTTCCCGCCAATTTTTCCGATGTGCTCTAACTTTGCCTTGACAATGACACTTTTGAAGGACCTGGAAGTAGAATTTCTTTTGCGCGTAGCCCAGGCTAGATAGCACTCTTGCTTATTACGTAGTACAATTTTGCAGGAGCGACCAAACAAAGGCTGGGTTCTGCCTCCGTTAGGTACCACAGATAATGGAATAAAAAGCTGCATTCCCTGAAGCACCACATCAGTGACAGATCAGCAGCAACGCTGGGATCATCCGGCGAGAAGCAAAGCCGCCTCCAAGGGTAGGATGCAAAAAAAGATCGCATCCCGTCTTAATCGGCTGACCTATAATGCCAAACATGGCGGCAACCTGCAGTACGCAACCGCGATGGGAGCGTGAATGGCACCGTACTCCGGATCAGACAATGGTCCGAGGAGCCAAGGGGGGCATCAACGGAGATCTGATATCCGTCCGGATGAGAGGTCAGCAGAAGGTCCAACAGGGAAGGTATGTGATCTTCCACATCTGGGATCCGCGAAGGCGAGGTAACCAGATGTGTCAGACCTTATGCCAAAGCAAAGTCATAAACAGATCTACCCGCATGATCGGTTAAACGAGTACCTACGAGTAGCCATTCAGCGTGGTGGGCGTTAAAATCACCAAGTATCACGATCTCTGCGGAGGGGACCTGTTGTAGCACGGAGTCTGCAGCCATCTGGACGTGGTCGATCCGACGGTCTGTGTCGGCATTTCCGCTATGGAACCTATAGAGTCACCCGTAGACGCGGGGATGGTCTTCGCTGTCTACGTGCAGCTATAAGATGGACAGGCCCGTACCGTCAAGGCTCTCAGACGTACATGCAAACTCCAGCCCGGGGCACAAAGGAGTGTTCTAATTTGAACCCCGGGTAGGAAATATATGAAGTATCAGCCGGAGAGGAAACCTGTATCTCTACTATGTCCTGAGGTCTCGATTCGGAATTTCGCCCCCCCCAGAATACGAGGAGCAACCTGACCACCCACGCTGAGCCTTTGATTCCGTCAAAATTTGGCCAGTGTTGCAGTCCCATTAGCGGTGCCAAGTGGATTATCAGTATATCGAAGTGCTGAAGTGTTTGTACAATAGGGCTACGATGGCTATCCGAGTTCAGAACCAGAATACGAAAGCTATACAACTGCAGAGAGCTGTAAGTCAGTCATATAGTCACTATGGCAGCATCGTTGGAGGACCTAGGTACTTCGCTCAACGACCTCAATAGAAAAAATAGGAACCCAACGGATAAGTCTTAAGATGAACATGGACAAAACGAAAAGCATGTCCATGTTACACTTATGCCAGTGGTGATTGGGAACACTAAGCTCGAAGTTGTTTACGAGTATGTTTACCTGCGACAAATAGACCGACTGACTAGGCAAGTGCAATTTCGACCGAAAGGTCAATCGACGGATTCAACTCGGCTGGGCAACGTTCGGGAGATTGCGACACAACTTCTCGTCAGGCATACCTCAAAATCTCAAAACTAGATTGTACAACCAGTGCGTGTTGCCAACCTATGGATCTGAGACGTGTTCCTTCACTGCCGGCCGCACGAGGAAGCTCAAAGTCGCTAAGCGAGCTATGGCGAGAGCTATGCTCGGAGTTTCTCTGCGTGATAAACTTAGGAATGAGGATATCCATAGTAGAACCAGAGTAACTGACATAGTTCAACAGATTAGTAAACTGAAGTGGCAATGGACCGGCCACATAGCTCGAAGAACCGACAACCCATGGAGAAAAAAGGTTCTCGAGTGGCAGTCTTGTACTGACAGGCGAAGTGTAAGGCGTCCCCCCACTAGATGGAGTGACGACCTGGTAAGACATGCAGGAAGTCGATGGATGCAGGTGGCTCAGGTCCGTGCTTTGTGGCATTCCTTGGGGAAGGCCTATGTTTAGCAGTGGACTTGCGAAGGGCTGTAATAATGATGATGATGGTGACTCTGAAATAAATACTTTGGTATTTATTTTAGACTACTTAATTATATCGACATATAACGATTAAAAATATCGACGATATACTCATATATCAACAATTTTGTGAGCACATATTGATATATTGATTTATCAATATTTTTGTCCAAGTCTAAATGCGAGTATTGAGCGATTGATTTACAGTTGGGGTTTGGGGGTACCCGCACACACAAGTCACATTACGAGAAGAATTATCAACCATAAATAAATAACCAACCATACGGTCTAGCCGAAGTCAGGAAGTTGGCGGTGTTTCAATCCCGTACTTCGGAAAGTAACAGAGAGAGATCAAATACAGAACCAACGGCTTTACGTGCTTCCCAAGATAAGGGAATGTAACACCGCCAACTTCCCGAATCTAGGATGCTACTCATAAATTCTTGTCATAAAAAGCTAATAGCTGATGTGACCCGACCCAGGTCTCGAACCTGGGTCCTAAAGATCATCAGTGTCGTTTACGACCACTAGATCACTAGAAGAGGCTTTCAGATTATGTACATGTCTGCGATTGTGTATACATGTGTAGATGTATACGTATGTGTACATGTATGCGTATACACGTGTGTGCCTGTGTATTCGATTATGTGTATGTTTGTGCAATCAAATGTGTAAACATGACTTTGTGTACGTACGTGTATGGGTATGTGTGCGTATGCATGCTTATAAGTACAATAGTGTTTACATGTGTGCATGTATACAAGATCATGTGTACATGTGTACGATGGTATGTATGTTTGCATGTACGTACGTGTATACGTATGTGTACGAAGCGATGCGATAGTGTGCACGTGTGTGCTTGTGTGCGCGATCATGTGTATGTTGTGCAATCAAATGTGTAAATTAAAGTTAGCACGTAGTAAAAAGTACGTGGATACGTATGTGAACGATTATGTGTAGGTACGTGTATGTGATAGTGTGCACATGTGTGCTTGCATGTGTGGTCATGTGTGTTCACGTTGGTGTCCATTGTGTGTGTGTGTGTGTGTGTGTGTGTGTGTGTGTGTGTGTGTGTGTGTGTGTGTGTGTACTACTAACCGGGTGCAGTGGGCGAGGCGGTATTACAGTGTGCGTGTGGCGAGGCGGGCGAGCCGTCCAGCGCGCCGGACCCGCCGCAGTAAGACATCATGGATTCGCCTGTAAAGTCACACGTTAAACCACGTTAAGGAAATAATAAATAATTATTATTTTTATAGGATATGGTTGACAAACGAGCACACACCTAATGCTAAATGAACGCTGTGGCCCACAGACACCTACATTTATCCTCGATAAAGAATCAAAATTCAGATGCGTTGTCACCAGATAGTGTTGAATACAAAGATGAAATGCCTCGTTTCCTGTAAAAAGGGATTCCGATTCTCTGCAGTCACAGTAGCATTGAACTGCTATTTTAGTTTTGCTGGTGTTCTCTGAGACCGTGGTCCTTTCCCGGTCCGTCCCTATTTGTACTTCAATGATAATATAGGTTTATAATGGCTCTACCAAGTTAAACTTGCACTGTTTGTACACTGGTGGCCGTATTAAAGAAACCTTAAGTCGCATAACGAGGTCCTTGTACAGCGAGGTGTATGCTCAAAGTTTTTCTGTGTGATAGAATCATTGGCAGTTGGTCTTCACCCCTTTATTGTGAATATTACACGCATTCAAACTGTTTGCTTTATCTTTCATAATGCGAACAACAAATATGAGCAAATGAGTGGAATAATCTGCAATGTTACGTCTAGTTACAAACCGGACGTCTTTAAGACAATAGTGAATGGGTCTTTGTTACGTTAAGATAGTGCGTTTTACCATCTAGGGCTTTATTACCACTAACCACCAGGTAGAATTCTAGTCAAGCACTTACTTATAATAAGTAAAAAATGGAAGAAGGGTAGAATTTAAATAACTGAATAGTTAGAAAAACCAACCATCGATGTACAAAACCGATAAAGGGAGTGAAGGGCAGCTCATGCTAGATGGACTGACGACCGTGTAAGGACAGGTGAGAAGTTGCTAGGGGTAGCTCAGGATCATGATTTAAGGCTTTACTTGCGGGAGCCTTATGTTCAATAGTTGACTTTTGATGGACTGTAATGATGATAATATGATCCATTCATCCATCTGTGTACGCGGAAGGAAAAGGGGAGATCTCACGCCGGGCAAGGATTTCTGCCCGGGGAGTGGCCAACGTTCCGAGTGGTAGTTCCGAGCTATTCTATATTATATATTGTTTTTACTTTGGAACTTTGATAGCGCGATTTAGGCTTCGATGTGTTTCGCCCCAAACACATCGAAGCCTCTCTACTTCCTACAGCTCATAAAAGTCCACTATTTATCAAAGCATTCTGATTTCGAGAATCACAGCGTTTGGCAGGCTGGTCGGCAACTGTAATTCTTTATAATTTTAAATTGTTAACAGAAGAAGCTACTGTCCATCACCTGTTTGAGTCTCCCTCTATCATCTCTGTCATGGTAGCGGATGTTCTTCCACCGCCACCGCACGGGACTCACCTAAAGAGTTGAGCGGATAGTGCGACTGGTACTGCTGGGAGGCCATGGAACTAATGGGCAGCGCAGGGTTCAAATCCGCCGCCAGTTGCGGCAGTCCACCAGCACTGAACCCGCCCATAGATACGCCTCCCTGCGAGAGTTGACCCAGACCTGTGACAAAAAAGCAGATGCATATTTTTATGAATTGAGACACTTTTTACTCATAATATTATATGTTTCACGCTGGCAACTTCGTAAATTCTGGATATTTACTCATAAATTAGAAAAAAGAACACTTATTATCTATATTTATAAACAAAATAGAAGTGGCTGTCTGTAATATTGAAATAGCTGCCTTATATTGAGCTGAGGAGGGGGGGGGGCTGTTTTGCATGCTATAACGATATAAATTGCTATTGCCAAAGATTATCACAGTTGGGCAAACACACCAAGTTGTTGGTGTCATCGACTAACCAGTCTTGAATATAAGATTTATGTTTAAAAAATGTGTCGGAATAAAGGTTTATATTATGTTTATATTAAGATATTAGGAAACATTTTTGACATAATTTTACGCGTAGAGCAGTTGAGGCAGTTGACGAAAGTCAGGGGGATGATTGATGAGATCCATGCTTTAAAGATAAGATTGAAGATAATCAGAGATCAAAGAGAAACGAGATGATATTTTACAAAATTTCCGTTTTTTGATAGAAACTAAATTTTCTGATCGCCTCGTTCACCCCTGGAATTGTTCTCTATTTGTTGGTAAAGTTTCATCACAATCGGCCATTCCGAAGGTAGGCCAGGAATGACACACAGACAATGTTCTGTAGTAAAACTTCTTTACGCACGCTTGACTTAGGGAGTAAGTTGGCGAACGGGTGACGATAGCGTGACGAAAGCGTTACGATAAGTGTGATCGCGCGAGGCGAACGAGAATTTAGTGGGCGATATAAGCAAGAGAGACCAGTGCGCACATTTTCTTTCTCTATTTCTCTCATAGCCAGTTATTTTTCGTAATTTTATTTCGTTTCGAACAATTTTATTAATTAATATTTTATTCAATACATTAAATATTCTACGTTTAAAGTGCTTAAAATTGTAAATTCATTTTAAAGTTCATGTTTTTGAATTTTCAGGTGAATAATAACAAATTATGGAAGGAAGCCGATAATAAATTTAAATATTTGTAGAAAATTAACATATATATATATATATATATATATATATATATATATATATATATATATATATATATATATATATATATATATACAGCTGGCGCACAAGCCCACTCGGTTTTAAAACAAATATTTATTCATGTTTTAACGACATGCAGGTAACCCCCCCCCCCCCAGTTATAAATATTACGAAGAAACACTTCAATTGTATTTATATGTATAGCTTCCAAGATCTCCTTACCAGAAGGCATAGACCAGGGCCGGTCTGCGAATACACCGGGGCTGCAGACGTCGCCCGCACCGAACGGTGGTAGACCGTGAGAGGGCAGCAGGGAGCCAGGGGATCGGAATACGTTGGTGCTCTTCTTTCGTTTCTTCCACTTCGCCCGGCGATTCTGGAACCACACCTGTAATCACCATGTCTTTTTTTTAGTTTTGAAACCAATATGTAGCCAACTTCAGCGCAAAAGCATTTTTTTTAATAGAATAAGCGTGCCAAACGAGCAGATAGTCCAGTAGTAAGTGAATGCTGTGACCCATACACATCTACATATATATATATATATATATATATATATATATATATATATATATATATATATATATATATATATATATATATATATCCTCGATTAAAAATCAAAGTCAAGATCGTTGTCACCTTTGAGGATGAAAATGGAATGTCTAGTTTCTCGGTTATTTCCACTCACCACGTGAAACTCAGCAGCATTAACGTATTATTTTCGTTGGTATTCTGTGAGAGCGTGTTCTTACCCCGGTTGAGCCGACCCATTAGTGCTTCAACTATAGTATAGCTGCAACGTGGCCGCATACAGTACAGCTACAGCTTATATACATCCCACTGCTGGGCACAGGCCACCTCTTACTTCTGAGAGGGCTTTAGGGCAAGGAAGTGTCCACAGCGCTACACCAACGCGTGTAAGCGAATTCCACAACATGTCTTCGATTTTTTTTATCGGCCATTTTATTTTTCTTTCAGCGCCAAGCACGGGGCGGGGTTCGGGTACGGCGAAATTTACAGCAAGCGCTGCTAAGCTGAGCGACCACGACTCTACTACATAGAACAATTTTGAACAAAATACCTTCCACACAACAATAATGTCATTATATTAAAACATAATACAATTTCTAAGGGTTGTTTATTTTTAAAGCTCTGTATGTGCATACATTTCGTAGATATAATATAATAAAACGGATCTTAACATATTTTACTTAGAGATCGAGTATAATTCAAAGGTTTTTAGGCGGCTGCAAAAAAGAATGAGGTTTATAATTCGAATGTATGTTCAACTGTGAATCGGTTCTGATGGTTCTATTTTTATTCAATAGGTTATATGTATTAAAAATTCTACCTTTAAGTGACAAAGCAAGGTATGAAATTTTTATGAAACTATTTAGACTATATTCGACCTCCTGATTTCATTTCCTATTCAATTCAATTTATTGCCAGAATATAGTATATAATACAATCTTATTAGTTATTAATGAGTACAATCTACCATGATAATGGCGTGAAATATTATATACTAAATTATTATTATTTCTATTATTATTAAAATTTAATGAAATAAATTATTAAATAAACTAATGTTCCTTAGTCCAATTAAAAAAGTTCAAAATTTTGATTAATCAAACATGAAACCGATTTTGAAGATTAAAAAAAGGAAATATTTACCACATTAATATCATCTGAAGTGGTAAATATATATAGATAGGCTTTCAACGCCTATCTTAAATTATCTTACTCTCCGACTTTTGAAGCTACTATATATAAAATTATTTTATTCTTCTTAATTCCGTAAAGGCTTTACTTTTTATTAAAAGTGAATTTTGTTCATTTACATTTAATCAATTGTTGTATTTGAAATATACCTAACAAAACTGAACTAACTAAAATATCATATTTATAAACAATTCTCAGTCCCTCACAAAACCTCTTAGCTTCCTCAATAGAGTGTAAAATATTTTTAGTTTTCGAAATGTTACCAAATTCACTCAGTCAATGTATACCATCATTTATCAATTTATCTCATAGGGGCACATCGCTAAAACGATGTGAATCCATGACGGGTCACAGATCGCGGATCATCCGTCAAACGGGTCGGCCCGATATTGATTACAGCGACGTGCACGGATTTTGCGGGTATTTTATTTATAGAATAAGGGTGACAAACGTACACTAAGTTCACCTGATGGTAAGTGTATGCTGTGATCTATAGAATCCACGTCTCAATTAAGAATCAAATTGTAGATGCGTTGTCATCCATATGTACTAATATCGAACGCCTCGTTTGCATTAAAAGGGGTCTCCGGTTCTCTACACGCATCATATCAAACACAGCAGCACTAAGCTGCTATTTTACGCTGATATTTTGTGAGAGTGTGGTCCTTCGAGCCAACCCATTTGTGCTACAACCATAATATAGTTGTAGCATGGCTTAAAAAATATGTTGAAAATTATTCTGTTTCTTAAATCGATAGTAAAATATTGATTTAAATGCTGGTGTTTAAATTCTTTTAATTATATTTTCATTATAATTGTTACAATTATAATGAACATAGTGCAAGAATAGGTTGGCCGGGGAAGGGCCAAACTCTCACAGAATACCAGCGTAAAATAGCAGCTATGCTGCTTTTTAATATAGTGAGTGTAGAGAATCGGAATAGGTGGCTGGTAAATTTAAAGATTGTGTTTAGGAGTTGTTCACGACAGTAGTCGAATAGCGGATCTGAACCCCAACTGAACCCACGATCTTCTGAGTTCGCAATCCCCACCCTACCATCAAGCTACTTTCGCTTTTAATCTTTGAAGGAGGCCTATGTTCAGCAAAAGAATTATGATGTTGTGACAAATCACAGCTTGTTTGGTTTAGTTTAGCTTGTTGTGGTAAATTTGGCGATTGTAGGCCTACCACACCCTTCACAATCAATATTTTATATCCAACAATTTTTATAATGATTTCTTATATTTACGCGAACACTACACATTTAAATAATACTAGTTTTTACGGATTTATCGCGTATATTTAACTTTTTAAATACCCGACGATTCGAGCATTTTACAGCACCCATGGTCAGGGGGGGGGGACTGAGATGTTGAACGTCCAGATGTCATAGTTAACCGCGGTTACCATAGTTTAAAATTAATAACTTTTATTCCGATCTACGCAGTATGAACTTATGGTGTCTTGAAGTCTTGCAGTTGTATGCTTGGGATGGGATTTCATTTTATTAAATAAAGGATCCCAAGCTGATGATAGCACCCAGCCATCTTCTCTATTGAAATTAGGATGTTTTTTGATTTCAGTAGTCTCGCGAATCATCCTTGGTAGAAATCGGTGTTCTTTAGCGAGGATTTGTGCTCCATCAAATCTGATGTAGTGACGGGGGCGATCCTGTATGTGTTAACAGACTGCAGACTTCCCGGAGCGTCGATTCTTCACATCGGCTATATGTTCCTTAACGCGGGTTTTAATTGATCTTTTAGTTTGTCCTATGTAGGAGAGACCACATCTACAATCAAGCTTGTTCACTCCTGCATCTTGCAGAGGGACATTACACTTGAGTGATGGTAAAAACTGACCAATCGTCTTCGGCGGCTTGATGTATGTTTTGATGGAAGCGCGCTTCAAGATGTAGCCAATCTTGTCAGTGACTCCTCTGATATATGGCAGTACAGCAGGTACACGCTCGACTATTAACAATTTTTATTCTGCCTTCTCTCGTTCTCTCATTTTTTTTAAAGGTACGAATTTGATAACGTTTACTTGTGACCAGGAGAGCACTATACAATGATAATAATTAATAATAATCATATTTTAAAATTTGGATCCAATTTGAAATAAAATCTTGGTATTTTTCGTAATAGGAAAAAGTTCAACAGTATTGTCGTTTAAAAATGTAATACTGAAAGTTTGTGGGACGTGTAACGGCGCACAAAACACAGTAAAGTGGGAGTGAGAGGAGCGACGAGGGACAGGGAGGGCGCTACTCATTTGGCAACTGTCAGAGGCAAACTCTATTATTTATGGGCTGTCGTGAGTGGTCGAAGGAAACCCACGTTGCCGGCCGATTCTTTTTTTTTGTCGATTTGTTTACCATTTGTAGCATGTAAATTTAAACAACTTATTTTGGGATGCATTTTTAGGTATGACACAATATAATGAGAAAAAATCGTGCATGAAAATGGTTATTGTTACGGAAAATCTAGAACTGTTAAGAATCGAAGATGTTGACCACAAAAAAAAGGATTAAAAAGGGACTTTGCGGTTCTGTATTTTTAATACAACAGACTCACTTCGCATATGATTATTTTTAACTGCAAGAGCTTCGATTGTCTTGTGATCGTTGGTGTTATGTGCACGGAGCCAGATTATGTGGTCCCTAGTTCGAATCACGCGTCGGCAAATAATAATTGAGTTTTTCTGTCATAAAAATTCTCAGTAGCATCCCGGAGTCAAAAATTTGGCGGTGTTTTTCCCCGTAAAGCGCATAAAGCCTTTAATTTTTTTTTGACTTTAAATAGTAGTTTTTATCGGGTTGAGTGGTCTTATTCATATTGTACAACTAAAAATAATATGTTTAGTTAAATAAGAATAAAAATTATTAGTTGTCCTTTCAATTAATTATACCAGTAAGTATGTGATAAAACGTTATATTATTTTAGTTAGTTATAGCTTGTATAGGTCGTTAGTCTAGTAGTCTTAAATGCAGTTGCTGAACACAAGGTCCCGGACTCGAATACCGGATCGGGCCAAAATCAGTTATTGAGTTTTTCTATCAAAGTTCTCAGTAGCAGCTCGAAACCAGGAAATTTACGGTGTTTCACCTCCGTGCCTCCGTAAGCACGTAAAGCCGTAGATCTGCGTCTGATCTCTCTCCGGCCGTATCGGATTGCAGTCTAATCGGACTGTGCGAGTGAGGGAATAGAGAGTGCACCTGTGCTAGCACATTCTCGTGCACTATAATCCCGTTCTGCGCATATGGCTAGTGACACAGGCCGCCGTGATCGAAATTTGGTCTGTAGGGTATTAAGTATTATACTTTAAAAGAGCTACATACATTTAATTAGCCAAAAACCAAAATGTATTATTTTAGACATTCATTTCGATTTTAATCTATTTAATGATTTCTTATATTTATGCGAATACTACACATTGAAAAAAAAAACTATTAAAACTAATTTTAATAATAAATTAATTTAAAATAATAAAAATAAATTTTGTGACACCCATGGTCACGGGAGGACTGAGGTAATCACCCCATCAGCATCGGAAATCAAAAATAAATAAAATTAAACGCGATAAAATCCGTAAAAATAATTTTATTCAACATACTATTTTATTTAAATTTTATCGTAACACAAATGTAAATACAATGTGCAAATACAAAACATTAAAGATATATTTTACTTTAAGTTTAAGGAAATCGACCATTTGTGCTTCGCAAGCGTCATACCCTTCTGATCCCGAGGGATAGCAAAGCCGACCCCGGAATCATAACTCTTTTCGGCGATGACGGCGATTTGCGGCTAATCCAGCACCATTAGTCAACCGCCTGGATACAAATAGACGTGAGATCGTAAGTTAAATATTACTGGCAGGGTAAGGGTGCGAAAGCTTAAGGTTTTTTTATAAACAACGTATAACGAACGTTCAGGTAAGAAAAGGTTCTTTGTTCTTGTACGCTTCACCATTAACGTGGTACAGCCAAGCTCTACCACTTTTTATGGTAAAGTGCTATATTGGTAGTATATTTGTGTCGGCTTCACCGAGGTAGGACCACGCTCCCACAGAATACCAGCGTAAAACAGCAGCTTAACGCTGCTGTGTTTCGTACGGTGGGTGTAGAGAACCGTAAATACATTCTTCCTCGAAAAGTGGCATTCCATCTCAGTCCTCACGTGTGACAACGCATCTGCATTTTGATTCGTAATCGAGGATAGATGTAGATATCTATGGGCCACAGCAACCAGTTACCATCAAAGGACTTTGTGCTTGTTTGTCACCTTTATACTATAAAAACACCATCTTCGGCTGCATGACCATTTACGTCCAGGTGGGATAATAGTCAGTGTAAACACACTAACAGGAGTTCTGAAACGGTTCTCAAACGCACTCAATATGTATATCTTTTTCAGGATTGAATAGAATCTGAAGCAAACTATATGAGGAAGGTCCGTGTTCAGCGGTGGACTTTTGAATGAATAACCAACATTAAAACTCTTATAAGAGCTCTTATTAACTTAATATCTACCTTTTTACAACAAAGTCCCAGAAAGTATGCAGGATTTATCTATCAAAATGGGTAGGAAGCAAATTGTTTTTAGTAAGGGTAATACTAAAGATACATGATTGATAATAACCGCTGGACATGAGGTGATCGCTACAATACTGTTTCTATTCATGCCAAATGTACAAAATATAATATTGTAAATTATTTTTCATTTAAAAATATCCGTTTGTGATTCTTGTCGGTTCTTCCCAGTATAGAGGTTTTTTCCGAACCAGTGGTTAACGTTAAATGACTTTCAATAAGTATAATTATATAATTTGTATTGAATGAAAATTCTAACTACTCTAATAAACTCTTATTAACGAGTACTAGTGATAGTACCACCAATATTTTAGCAGTGCTTTCACTTTTTTTTTATAGAATAGGCTGACAAACGAGCACACAGTCCACCTGATGGTAAGTGGTTGCTGCGGCCCATAGACATCTACATCTATCCTCCATTAAAAATCAAAATGCAGATGCGTTGTCAGCCGTGAGGACTGAGATTCGGTTTTTTTTTTTTGTTTCTTTTTGTTTTCTTTTTATTTTTCCCCGTTTTCGTTTCATCTCTAATTCTGAGCTATTTTCAAAAAATTTTACTCATCGGGAAGTGAGTTTAAAATTTATTACTAAATTCGATCCGAATCCAGACATACACGAAAATTAATACCTTCGCGTATATCGTTAATACGGTCTCATTTCCATAAAAGGGTCTCCGGTTCTCTATCCTTATTATTGTA